TGCTTATCTCATAGGTGGGTCACGGCTCTTACTGGTACTCTCTAGTGCTGAATTCACTGGCTTAAACACTGTTCAACACTGATCCCACTTCTTTCCAAAATGAAATTGTCACTTTTGATTATGTAGATATCCCGGTGGTGAGGATGGGTTGGGGAGAGGGAATTCAGGAATGGGCCGACATGGCCAAGGGGGACCGCTGCTCAACAGGAGCAGTGCCTGAATAGGTCTTGACCCTACAGTGGTCAAGGATGTGTGTGTGTGTGCGCGCGTGCGTGCATGCGTGCGTGCGTGCATGCGTGCGTGCTTGCCAAGCACATTGTAGGTTTTGAAGAAGTTGATGAAGAGGTTGTTCAGGAGTCAAGAGGTGAGGTGACATGCCAAGACACTTACTTACACAGCACAAACATAACAGCACTACTAAACCATTGTCTTATAACATTTTACATTATAATTTCCATTTTAAAATTAATTGGTGCATGATGGCTCGATTGGGCTACATTAGCACTTAGACAACTGATCAATGAATAAAGCAGGGCATATGGAGACGCATTATACACTAGTGATGTCACGAAGCTTCGAAACTGCAACCACAAATTATCACAACCGGTACTCAAATGTACTAAGTTAATTACTAAAGTTATTATGTCTGGTGCAAACTCAAGGGATGTTTATGCTCAAATTAATTGCTATTTTACAAGAATTCCAGCAATGCAAGTTATATTCTCCTGAGTCAAGTCAGTGACATTTTATAAGCGAAAAAATTAAGCGCCCTGGCTTTCATAATCCTTGAGTAAGTGTTAATCTTCCCTCCTGGCTGTCGACACCCCACCTTCCACCCCCCCCTCCCTCCTCCCAGCCAGCACTGGGGGAGCAGATGGGTTGATAACGATTACTGGGATGAATTTTATTTTAGGCTTAAAATTTTCTCTTATAAAATGTCGCAGACTTGACTTAGGAGAATATAACTTGCATTGCTGGAGTCCTTGCAAGATATCAATTGATTTGAGTATCCACATCTCATAATTTGTACAAGAGAATTTTTTTTTAGTCCTTTAGCATAGTACATATACATTTAGTACAAAATGAGTACAGTAGGGTCGGTATATATCACGACTTTTTATAGTGATTTTTTTATCGTTACTACCAAAATTATCGAAATTTTCCAATATCTAGCTATAAATTTATTTATTTCACGGGATAAATCGGGCAGGAAATATTTCAAATGTACCGCCATGGCAAACAACTGCGTTATTTGCTCACCAGAGGCGCCACCGTGGCTGCTCACCCATGCATTCACACTTGCCTGCTCAGCCTCTCTTGAGTGAGTGACGAGAAAGCACCAGACTGCTGCAGATTACGACTTCTAAGGTGAGTGTAAATGAGTTGCTAGTGACGTGAAAAGTGAAGTGAAGATAATGAAAAAGATTTAATACTGTAACTATAATTTTTGGTGTTTGTTTATGTAGGTGTGGGATTGTCAAGTGAGTGTGGCAGTGTGGCGTCTACTGCCGAGTCTGGTGTTTCTTGATATTGATATTGAAATAGCCTGTTGTTCCCGAGTCTAGTGTTCATTGGTGCTTTAGTTAATCAGAAAATGAATTTCATTAAGTCGAGTTTATTCACTTTTTTGGGGCCTCCAGAACCTAACCCTATTTCCCCATTGATTACATGTAATTATAAATCGTGATTTAGTATATGGCGAACAACATTGGACCCTATCACGAGATATATCCCGACCCTACTGTACAGTAATATGCTGCTCAAAATTATGGTTTTTATCACAGGAAAAACTGGTCAGGATATTATGGTATCGAATGTTATGGAGTATATTTCAAATAAATTCTTCTACCAGTACCCTTCACATACAGTAATGTACTGGGCTGCCTCACTTATTGCAAAGGTTACGGGCATGAAACTCGTTGCGAATATTGAAATTGCGAATAGCGGAGCAATTTCTCCCTTAAGAAATATTGTAAATAGGGGGGATACGGGCATCACGGTGGTCACGGCCATCTGATTTTAACACTTGTTTTACTCAATACATATAGAACATAAAATAAATTAAGAAACAAGGGCATAATATCAAATAAACATCAATAACAAACACTTTGAGTTTATTAGGCGTATATGTTTACAAGTACAGTATACTTTACATGTTTGAGTGTGTGAATGTGTGAATGTTTATGTGCGTAGGTGTGTGAGTTAAGTTTTAAATGTAGACTGTTAATTTACCTCTGCTATGCTGTGTTGCTTGCTTACTGAAGTTGGCATTAGGGGAGAGGGTGAAGGTTTACTGGGGTGAGAGGAGGCTGGGGTCGTCAGCCACCTCGCTCTCATCATCACTGCCAGGGTCGTCAGCCACCTCGCTCTCATCATCACTGCCAGGGTTATCAGCCACCTCATGCTCATTATCGCTGTCAATTTGCACTGAATGCTATTGTTCTCCGCTGGTTGAAGGCTGTGGTTCACTCGTTGAAGGCTGTGGTTTTACACTGGTCTTGAGCAACTGCCTAAAAGCTGTGTTATGTTTGGATGTATGTGGGGAGGTTGGTGCACTGGGGGTTGAAGGTGTGGCCATGATAAATGCATCAAGAGTCATTTGTTGTGCATTCTTCCCCTTCTCCTCAAGCACCTCGTAGTATGCTCGTATGTCTTTCTTGACATTGCGGATGATAGTGCAACTTCGGTCAACATTAGGGTCCATTTCTAATGCCATATCCATCACCATCTCCAATGAAGAATCAGCTTCCTTAGGTTCCATACAGTGAGGAGTTGTATTGGAGTTTCATCTGTATCTTCTCCCGTTGCCAGTTGCATTTCTTCCTGCTGAAGCCTCTCCAGTTCTATCAGGTCTTCATTGGTAAGTTCTTCATTGTGAGAGTCGAGGAGGTCTTCTACGTCAGCGTCATCCACTTCATCGAATCCAGCCTTCTTTGCAAGAGTCACAATAGTCTTCCTCATTGCAGGCACTGAAGGGAAACCAGCGGAGTTGTGCACACACTCGGGCCACAGCTTACGCCACACACCGTTCATGTTCTGTTGTGTTATTGCCTCCCATGAATCATTTATGTTTTTTTTATGGTTTTCCTGATGTTGTAGTGTTTTTTCCAAAACTCCCGGATTGTAGGTTTCCCTTCTCCATCGGTCCCCTCAATCAGCTGCTCCATGATACGCTGAGTGTAGAGCACCTTGAATGTAGAGATAACGTCCTGGTCCCTGGGTTGCAGCAAAGTCGTGGTGTTGGGAGGCAAACACACAACTTTAATATTCTTACACCAGTCAGCCATAGCTTTTGGATGACCTGGTGCATTGTCGATCACCATCAGAGCTTTATCATCAAAATTACTTTCCTTATTATAGCGACGAATGCGACCGGACACATAGTTGAACATGTAGTCGTGCATCACAGACCCTGTCACCCACGCCTTATGGTTTGAATGCCAGACGACAGGAAGTTGTCCCTTTACAACCCCCCCTCAGAACATGGATTATTATAGTAAAGAAATGAAGTTTCTAACTTAATTAGAACTGTATTTACAGATTCCAGTAGTTTAGACTCGAGGAAAACATTTCCAGTACCCAGAAACATTATGGGGAAGTGGGCTATAGTGCGTTTTTTCCCAGCTGAGAAAAGATGCTCCGACCTCTCTGCAAGAGTTACAGCTGATGTGCTGTTGCAAATCTGTTCAATTTCGTCCTGAAGTAATGATGTATTTCTAAAATAGTTTATTCATAATCGTTGGGATGACCGTTTCCGATGAGAAAGATGTTTAGCTAAATCATATAAAGATACAAACATTCATTATTTCAAACATGAGCACGTAGGAAGTTTATCAGAAATCATATATACTTGAATTAACTGTTAAACTTTGGTAATAAATTCACGCTTTCGGAGGATGCATTTAATATATACTTATTTTTACCTACAATAAGGCATACTAAGACAAATTACATGTCAGTAAAACTACATTATGCAAAAACTAACATTTTAAAAGTTCAGAATCACTGAAGTATGAAGTTGTTCACAGTTATATTTCCCGCCTTGACTGACGGCTGTTCGCTTTATAGTGCGTACAGAGCTCTCCGACAGTCCAAATTGACATCCTACACTTGAAGCACCATTTCCATGCTGCAGTGCTTCCAGCACCTTGATTTTCTGCTCCAGTGTAATTGCTTGCCTTGATTTCTTAGCCTGTGGGGTAGTTAATGATGTAGTAGCTGGCCTCTTGGACATAATGGCGTTGGTTGATACACGTGGTAGAAGAGAGTGTCACACAGTACCGGTAAGTCCGTTCACTGGAGCGTCAGCGCGAGAACTGAGGATGCGTGAGGGTGTGGGAGGGTGGCGGGCAGCCGTGTAGCGTGTCCAGAGACGCGTCTGGTGGGAAACATTAGGCGCGAAATTTAAGATATGATGCGCCTTGATTGAGTCTCGCAAAATAGGGAAGATTCGCTTTAAATTAAAACATTGTCCTTAATTGTGGGTGTCGCTTTAAATCAATAATCTTAAATCGATTCGCATTAAATCGACGTTCTACTGTATTTGAAAGTTTGTGGAAAGAGATTACCACTGCAGAACACATCTGTTACAGCAGTAAAAAATGTCTTTAGCCACCAATGAAAGAAGAATGTTTTTGTGCATGTGTATTTGTACTTCATTTAGGCCATACTGCATTTTGGCAGGAAAGGGCTTGAAATGGTGGAAAATAATGTGTAAATGATCTGGTGTGAGGTCCTCAGGAAAGAAAGTAATAACTTGTAGAGGTAAGTTTAAATTTTTTGTTGTTTACGATTTTTTCTTATATTTCATGGATTGTGGTTGATTATTCCTTACAATAATTGTAATTTTTTACATGTTTTCTGTCATTTGCCCATCTACTAGATTTGATGGAAAGACTTTCACATCGGGGCAGAAACCACCTCTAATATGTGGGTCATGTCAGAAGGAAGGACATTGTAAGGCAGATTGTCGTGAAGATGAGTTGCCACCCCTCAAGCGCCTGTCACCCATGAATAGTTTTTTCCTCAATCAACTCACTGCCATTTTTGAACATCTGACAGGTAAATAAAAAGATGACACAATTTTTATGCATTTATTCAATTAGCAGTTTATCAGTCAATGAGTAGTACACCCTAGAACTTTTGTTTATTCATCTTTATATCCCAGTGCTGTACTATTGACTTGAAGATGATATTTGACAGGATTTGTGTTCAATCCAGTGGTAAAACAAGTTAAAAGGTGAAATTCATAAGTAAGAGCTGGCTGGATGAGTCTTAGTAATTCTTTGTAAATGTGAGGTAAATATGAAAAATGCCAGCACGAAGGATTGTTTATTCCAGCTTTTGTATGGGTATGGAACTTTTGAGCTTACTACTGAATGGCATGTCAGAAACTGAGAGCAGTAAAATCAGATGTTTTATAACCAACAGGTTACAATTGAATGGCATGTGAAATTTTATGAACAAGATCACCCTAAAGGTAGGGATTGCTTTAGGTTATGCTGCCATTATGGATTATTTTGAATTACTGCAAAGCAGTTCTAACCACCAAGGCAGGGTAAAATAAAGACTAAGTTCAATGGTTACCTCAACGGCTAGTGAGGCTTCAGGTTCACTTGCATCTCAGACTCCTCAATCAATCATAGTGCCATGTCAGGGTTATTGCCCACAATCTTTCATTCTTCATGTTTTGGGAATGCATTTACCAACTCACCCAGATTTTGCATCCATGATGAACCAGCTTTTAATTTCTCTTCTATTTCATCACTGCTTTCCCCTGGCCCTCTTGCCTTCAGTTTTGCATTCTAATATGACTACCATTATCCCCCCATTTCTAATTATAAAGCCAAAGTATCTCATTTTCCTTATTTAATCAATTGTGAGTATTTTTCTCAACACTTTTGTCAATCTTAGTGCTTAAAGTACTTATCGTTTTTTTCTATTAGTGTATTTTATTTGTAATAATATTTTTTGCACCACATTTCAAAGATCCCTAACCTCCTCTAGGTGTCGTCTGTAGGTGTCCATTCTTATAACCCACACAGCAGTACTGACCATATATAGCATTTCAACAACTTTTTTCTAAGGTCCCTTAGATTATTAAATATTGTTTTTGTTTGTTTGTTTTTTGCACCTATATTATCACAGCTAATATTACTTCCCAACTACAGTATTCAAATAATTTTCCACTTGTTGCCAACCATAACTTTTATTTTAGGATTTATTACTGACTTGGAAAAAATCATTACCCTGTACTTTCGTCTTAACAGCTATAACTCTTAGTCCATATTCTTCACCTTCTTCCAACAATCTATGAACCAGTTTTTGTAACACCTTTCCACTATCTGTAATAAGAGCAGTATCATTTGTATAGACTATATTTAATATGCTATTTACTGCACTAGTAACAGAACCATACCCAAGGATTGAAAGAGAATGGGTGAAGAAAGCAGTTGACAAAATGAAGAATGGAAGGGCGGCTGAAAGCTCTGGGAATAGTTGCAAAAAATGCTTAAAGCTTCAGGTTATGTTGGTGTATCAGTGGTGGTCAAATTGACCAAAACTTCATGATGGAATGTCGTACTTACAGTACTTACAAGGGAACTACAGGGACCTGAAGCTACTAGATCAGGTTATAAAAGTTTTGGGAAGAGTGATTGAGATATTGATGATGGAGAGAGTGGATATAAATGAAATTTAGTTTGGGTTTATGCCTGGTAGGGGTAATATGGAGGCAATATTTATGGTCAGGCAGCTACAAGAGAGATATCTAGGGAAGTGGAGAAACTTGTTCTACATATTTGTAGAGAAGGGGCATCACATGAAGTAGTGTGGGCATTGAGAAAGCTAAGGGTTGAGGAGTGCCTTTTTCAAGTGGTTATGGCATAAAATGAGGGCTCAAAAACCACTGTGAGAGTGCAGGGGGTCCCTGACTTTCGAACGTCCGACTTACAAATGCCCGCCGATACGAACGGGGTTAAACTTGAAATTTACAGTATTTTATTTACCTGATGACTTATTTTTTTTACTGTACTTTCATTTATTGTATTTTGTCATTCTATTTCTTCTTTTGTCTGAAATTAAGTGATTTTAGAAGTATATAAGGACTTAGGCTATGATATAGTGGGTGTACCTAGTTTTTCACATTATATTGGCTACCCCACTCCAATTATGTGGAAAGTCCATTGATCAACTTTGGCATTATATAATGGTAAAGGAAGAAAGGAAATATATACTGAATGCAGTTAAATAGATTCATGCCTGTATAATGGAGCTATCATTAATTAACCTATTAACTTACTTGAATTTTCAGAGGATTTTGAGCCATCTGTACAGGAAATTGAAGAGAGGGATAGAATAGTTGCCGACCTGGAGAATTATATTCGCCAGTCCTTCCATGGAGTGACACTCAAGTTGTTTGGTTCATCCGCAAATGGTTTTGGTTTCCAGCGTTCTGATTTAGATATATGCTTGACCTTTGAGGGTAATCCTTCAGGAGATGTGAGTTTTTTATTTCTTGTTGTATTGACTACAGTACTACTACTATAATAATGATAAGTTATGATAAGGCATGGTGTTCTTGGGGAAGTGTAACAGGACTTAATATTGTGTCAGATGGAGCAGACACTTTTGTTTCTGCAGTTTGATGAGGATATAGCTCTACTTGATGCAGCTGAGGAATTGCAAGTTGTTATTGGAGTGTAATGCAGTGTGCATATAGAGATATTGGGAAACATACATGACAACAAAGCAGTTTTTCTTTGTGCAGATAAATCAGAAGTTTAGAAATGTATGAGAGGGGGTCTAAATATCTTACAAACTGGTTAGAATGAAAAGGCAGAAGTACAGTTACCCACAAGTATTCACACACACTTATGGTTCTAATGTGGGTCATATTATCTGGGAACACTTTCCTGTAGAGAACTGTTAGAATTCCCAAATAACCCGTTATCTAAGTGACGTTATTACATTCATGTTTTTAATACGTTTGTTGTGTATATACAGTGGTCCCTCGGTTAACGAGCACAGTCCGTTCTAGAAGGTTGCTCGTTAACCGAAAAATTCGTTAACTGAAACCATTGTTTCAATGGGTTTTTGGGTAATTGGTTCCAGCTCTCTGAAAATTGATTAAAGTCAACAAAAAAGGTAGAAAAGTGCACTTACTTTGAGGTGTGTATGTAGAAGGCTCCTGGATGATGATGATGATGATGGGAATTAGAATGGGGGTGGAGGAGAAGGGAGAAGAGAAGGCATTGGGGAGGAAGAGAAGTCACCCCATGGCACCATTTCACCCATAAAATTTTAGTTCTCTTGGTGTAATTCAAGATTGTTTTCTTTAAATCAACACTGCACTGCATTATATATTGTCAATATGTAAAATAAATTTCAAAATGACAAATAATTTGCTTGTAAACACAGAAAAAAAAAAGCATTTAGTTGAAGAGAGTCTCAAGCAAGATGTTACCTCCACTGAAAAGACACAAAGACTGACGCCTGTATGGTGTGTTGAGAGGCTGGATGGTGCGCATAAAACTAGTTTCATTACCTTCAATTATGTTCAATAATTGTTAAGATGACTAAAAAAATTAATATTAAAATTTTAAAATTATTGAATAGTATAAACTTCTTGATATTTGCTAAAATGGTAAGGAATTTAAGCCCTAGAACCGATTACTGTATTGGCGGACTAATACTACAGCTGGTGGACTGCCAAATGCAAGTGAAAACATGTTCAGGTCGGCTCGTAAGAAACTCGTTAATCGAGGGATTGCTCGTTAACCGAAGTTAAGAATGTTATGGAAGGTAACTCGTTAACCGAAATTTCGTTAACTGAGGCGCTCGTTAACCGAGGGACCACTGTAATTGAATAGTGTTAGGTCTTGAAAACAACAACAAATCTGTTTTATGGATAAATATACAAGTTGTTGCTGGCTGGTACTATTATAATTATATAACGATGATTTTGATTGTTGTTTATTGTCTAATACAGATCAAGTTTGGCAGCTTCTAGAACTTTGAGACACTGCTATGCCTTTTAGGGACAAGAGTGAGGTGTAGGCATATCGGGAAACCACCTAATAACCCCCCCCCCGTGGTGGGGATTGTACTCTTGCAGATACTGTGAGCAAGCTTAACCCAGGCAGTGTCTAGCGGCAGGATGCACTTGACCCAGTCAGGCCTAGTGTGTGTATAGTTAGTTCATAATTTTTAATAATTTTTCATAAAAAAGGCTCCTATTAAGCACTTAAGCAGAACACAGTAAGGGGATATTTTGTCTCAGTAAGAGGGGCAGGGGTGAGGGAGAGAAGTTTGGATGGAAACAGAAGGGAGAGGGGCAGGATTGGTCAGATAAGGAGACTACAAAGTAAGGTGGGAGAAAAGTTGGTGAAAGGGCAGGGAAACTTATGGATGGTGAAGTATAGGTGGCATATTAAGGCACTATCCCACCTTGTGACAGCATACCAACATCTTTCAATAATGCTCAGTGCAGTCGTCAATCTTCAACCACCAAAGCAACATATACTGTAGTAGTCTTGGTAAGGGCTTAAAAAATGGTGATCGCTGCATTTCATAGTGCAAAGGAACCACTTCGTCTAAGTGTTCCTTGGGGCAAGAGGAAAAAATATATCCAAAGAGACACTGTCTCTATGCATAGAATCCACTAATTAGCATAAATTATGCTAACTAGCACCTGAAGAGAAGGCAATTTCTAACTTTTAAACCATTTTGCCTAGAAACATGTGTGATTAGTTGAACCTGGCTAATTTTAGGGTCAAGAATCCATTTTTGGGGTTACTTTGACAATTGGCAGCCATTTTAACCCTCAAATCCAAGATGGGCACTGGCCGCCATATTGATTGTAGGCATACTTTACAACCTGTGAACTGTTTGAGTTACAAACTTGTGTGATATATCAATTTCTACTAATTTGGGGTTGAGAAAATCATTTCTGGTATTGCATGTGTGATAGGAGGTCATTTGAAGGTGAATTCTAGGATAGTTGCCATTAGCTATATTAACCCCTACGCCCCGGGCTAGGATCGCGATGGCCGTACCCCGCACACGGGGGTAAAACGAGAAAAATCAACATTTCCAAAAATAATTTTTTACCTTTATAAATAATAAAACAATAAAAAATACATAAGATAAAGTACATATTGTCCCTCTATATTCTTCCGTGGTGCTTCAGTGACGAGACAAATAAGGGGAAGTTTTATTTTTACGTCGAGCACTCGCTGTCACTATGCACTTAGGGGTCATTTTCTCGCTTGCCTTTGTGTCTGAGATGGCCAATAATGCATATATTTACTGATCATAATACTTATCTCCTATAAATAATTCATTTAGAATTTATTTTTTTGCATTATTTTTCATAAAATGTGCTTGGCAACACACAGCAGTCTCAGGCTCTGAGGTTGAGAGGGTTAAGTACTATGTACTGCTAGAAGCAGAATTTCATGAACTTTCCAATGCAATAATCAGATTTCTGATATAACCAATAGTTTTTGAGAAAATAGCAAAAAACTGATTCTCAAATGGTATTTTTTTTTTTATCTTTTAGGATTTTTTTGTGCCTGTTATATGTCGATATAAAGTATATTGCATCTTGTAGCTAACACTATAACGAAGAGAATGGTACTGATAAAATTCATGTAAATCTAGAAAATCCTCTTATTTCAGAGACTCTTCGAGGTATTGTCACTATTACGAGGTTGTATTGCCTGATACGGTAACGGCTTTTGAAAACTAAACACTTCCCTGTAAATATGAAAAAATAATTTTTCCTTACACAACCATCACTTCGCTTCTCTAACACTAAAAATAAATTATTTCAGGGAGTAGGGTAAACACTGTAATCAAGGAGTTGAGACAGCCTGCACGGAGTTATGGGAATTTAAATGGACGAGGCTCAAACTCACGTTCTGACTACTGAGATAATACTGCGCATTTATCGTTCCGTTCTTCCCTTCCTATGGGCCCCGGGAGTTGCCAATTAATGTATTTGATAGAACTTACTTGCTACTATGAGGCATCAAAATTTGATGCAATTCTGTTGAAAACTTAATATTTGGTGAATTTTTTAATGTTTGGTGACTCAATTTGTGTCACCGTGAAGTTGGTCTTATCGTGAAAATGATGCGCTGTTTTAGAGGGTTAATTCTGGAGTTAGATTCGGTAGAATTTATGCCTACTGGAGATAGCAACAGGGGGATTCAATAGCTTGGGGGAGACTGCAACTTGATATATAGAATGCAGGCTGATGCTTTTTAGCCGTTTATTCAGACAAAAAAAGTGCATCTTATATGTTGTAAAATATGGTAATTAATTTTGTAAAATATTGGGAAATATATTTTTTTTACAAATTACCAAGTATTTTACCTCACATGACACCATTATTTCCCTGGGTGTCCAAAGGTGTCTCATAATTTTGGAAGACCGTGGCCATTTGGTCTTTAGATGTTTATGTGATTAGATGGTCCACGAAAATAGTGAACATGTAGAAGCTCAACAGTAAATCTGGTCAGTGTGATAGTGACTTCAGTAAAGAACCAGGTTAAGCTTAGTGTTGCAAGGAGAAAGTGATAACTTGGTGGACTGACAGATAGAGGATTGAGAATAGAAAGGAAGTATGGGGAAAAAAGATGATATTGAGTTAGGAAAGATTTGTTGATCAATGGCATAAAAACCATATCATTAAGCCTAATTCTCCTCTTTGATGTAGTAAGACTTAATATTGCTTTGTAACCTATATCTAAACTGATATAATGAGAGCATAAGACAAATAAAAATTGAAGTTAGTAATTATAATAAAACTACTACAGGTTGTACCTCTCTAGTCCGGCATTCTGTGGTCCGGAAACTCCCGTGGTCGGAACGATTCTAGTTTGTCCAATAGGTAGATAGGCAGCTTTTTTTTTTCTTTTTTTTTTATCTGAATTATTATTATTATTACAGGAGTATTAAATTTTTGCCCCTCAGGCCCCAATGTGGGTCAGTGACCTATGCCTGGGTGGGCTAATCCCCTTAAAAAAAAAAAGCCGCGGGAAATTAAGGTTTGTTTACATCCGGCAGTTCGGCTGCTCTCTCTCTCTCTGCTTGTCTATACAGAGTACAACATTTAACCCTTCAATATATATGAGCAGTAAATAAGTGTTGCTTTCATATTCTTATGTAGAGTAATGACGATATATTTTCACATGTGCGCACTTACATACGAGCAGTCTCACTTTTTTTTTTACCATTAATGGTTAGCTACTTATATTGTTCCATTTATTAACATTAAATAACATTACAGGTACTTCAAGCAACCATATTCATTCTTTACATTAATTTTACTACACCTAAACTCAGGGTCTTATTTTCTTCAGTTTTATATGTAGAACCAATCAGTCACTGGTTTTGTAAGCTTTAACATAAACAATGCCGGCAGCCGTCTCGTCTCCTCTAATATTCCACGTATTATTAATAAATTGTATTGTTAATTTTGCTCACACGTACAT